TCTATGAAGTTCAGATTCCTCCAGGTGGGTGTTTTTTGGATCTGGCTGCCGTGCTCCACTTCTTTCTGCTGCAGCCGTTAGAGTTAAACCCTTTGTGTCTCTCTGGCAAGATGTTCTGCTCCTGAATCAGTTGGGTGGGTCTTGCCTCTAGCCTCTTTGCAGGGAGTTCTACTGAAGGGTTCCATGCTGTGGCCCCCTAATTTTTGAAACCTGGTTTCCTCGTGTATAAAAAATGAGGATAGTAAAAAGTGTCCCACAGAATCCATAGCAAAGTGCTTCGAGAACACCTGATCAGTGGGTATCAAAATCCTAGGGCACTCAAATCCCCTACAGGGAATGGCATCGTGTTTGCATAGAACCTACACACATCTTCTCCTATACATTTTATTTATTTATTATTTATTTATTTTTGGCACCAGGGATCAAATTCAGGATCTTGTGCTTGACAGGCAGGCACTTACGCTGCTCAGCTATCTCCCCAGCTCCCCTATACTTTAATCCAGTGGTGGTGAACTTATTGCATGTATGCTATTTGCTTTTAAGATAAAATATTAATGTATGAGTTAGTTTTGCTAAACTAAAACCTCACTCTGGTATTCAGGTTTAATTGCAGTGCTGGCACTTATCAATGCATAAGTGGGCTTTGGGTTTCAGTTTGGGCACTCCTCTCTAAAAGGTTCGCCACTGCCATGTCTAACTTACTGACAGTATATGATACAACACAAATGCAGTGTAAGTAGTTGTTACATTACATTGCTTGGGAATGGTGCTTCCCAAGTGCAGAAGCAACCAGCCCAGGTCTCAGTACTCAGCAACAACAGAGCTTTCATTTTCCTATTTTTCTTCTGTGTTTTACTAAATCTGTAAGGATGAGGATGGCGAATGTACTATTAAACTTTGGTGGCTAAGAAAATGTCCTCCTCAATCTTCCAGGTCAGGCAGCACAGCTGACCAGAGCTCTGCCTCACCTGCTGGACTCTGTCTCGGGATTTGTATTACCATGTGGGGGCAGGGCCCTAGCTCTAGGCTGTGCCACCCAAGACTGCTGACAGACCTGACCCAGAGCAGGGCTCTATCTGGGGATGCCAGACTTAAGGCACAGCCGTTTGGCTCTGAGGCCCCAGCAGGGTGTTCCAGGCCTGCACTCTGCATCCCTTCACTCAGCTTTCCCCAGTCCTCTGCAAGAAAACACCTCCTTCCAGGCCCAGCTCCCTGACCCTTTTCCTGTGACCTACTGAACTGTGCTCCCAGCTGGAACTCTTTCTTGAAGGCAGGAACAAACACCTGCAGCGAATCACAAGGCTGCCTGGCGTTAGTGGTGGGGTGTGTGGCGAGCACAGGGGCATGCTCGCTCACTCAGCTGGCATTTACCGGGCAGCCCGGGTCTGGGGTCCCAGGCAGCAGAGAGCAAAGTGAAGGGGTCACTGACCCGTGGCTCTCAGCTTCTGCAACTTTGCAGACCTCAGCCTTGCACACTGGCCTGGCCTCCTGTGGTTCTGCTCCTCCACACCCAGAGCCATCTTCTCCCTCCTTTCTCTGCGCAGCCTTCTCCCATTGACTGATTGTCCTGGGCACTGAACCTAGGGTTTTGCCCTGAGCTACACCCCCAGCTCATTTTATTTTTTCTGTTCTATTTTATTTTATTCAATTTGAGACAGGCTATCGCAGAGGCGCTAACTGCCCATTCTAGGCTCAAACTTGTGATCCTCCTCCCTTAGACCCCCACAGTGCGAGGCTCCGGGTGGGCCAGCTGCACACCCTCCTTTCCCCAGAACCTGTGACATGTCCTGGAACCCAGCTTCCCGAGATCCTGGCCCACGGAGGCTGAGGGCTCGTACTTCCTCCACTGCGCCAATCCTAACCGGTCCGCGCCCAGACGACCCGGGACACCCCCCTACCACCCCACCAGCATCAGGGGCGATGTCGCGTCCCTGCGGATACCCGGCTTGCAGAGCCTCGGAGCGCAAGGCAGCGTGTGGATCGCAGGACAACAAATCGCGGCCTCCGCTGCTTGACACGTGACGGCCCCGGCCACGCCCCGGGCTGCGGCGAGCGTCACGGCCTGCGCGAGCTCTCGGCCCGCGAACCGCCGGCGGAGGAGCCCGGTCCAGCACGCCGGCACCGGGAGGCAGCGCTTCAAGCCAGGTTCTCGCGACGCCACCAAAGCGGCCGGGGGCGCCTCCCTGTCCTCGCAGCCGGCCGAGTCCGGGACGCCGCGCAGTATGGGCAGATGCTGCTTCTACGCGGCGGGGACGCTGTCTCTACTGCTGCTGGTGGCCAGCGTCACGCTGCTCGTGGCCCGGGTCTTCCAGAAGGCTATGGACCGGGCGGTGGAGCAGGTGAGGTGGGGTCGGGCGTCCTGAGTGCGTAATGCATGCGTGTGTACCCTCTGCGGACCTTGCCTGGGAACCCCTGCTGGAGCCCCCCCGCCCCCTTCCTGGGGTGGAGAGTGAAGGAGATGGCAGTGGCCCCGGTGCGCTTAAGACCAAACTGGAGCTTGGCTTCTCAGCAAGGCCTAGCCTCTGACTGGCGTTTGCATTTCTTTTTTCCTCTCCAGAAAATCCAATCTCAGCTGGGCCCAGCTGGTTTCCTTCCCACCTTGTGCGGAAACAAAACCGCGAGGAGACACATCCTTAGATGCGGCACGCGTTGTTCCTCCCAGGGCCGGGAGACTCTCTTTGTGCTTAGTCCGCCCTTCGCGGCCGTGTCCCTTGGCAGTCGCCCTCGCTGCCCGGCCCCGCCGTGTTTCCTTGTGCCCAGACGTAGAGGTCTGGCCTTGCTGCCGGGCGGCTCTATCCTTTGACTTCACTTCGTTGGCCACGGTCTCCTTGCCTTTTCCCCGGCTTCACCAAGCCCTGGGGAGAGGAGCAGCAGAGAGTTCGGGAGATCACTTTTCCCTTACAGAAGTCTGTGGCAGCCTTTCCTGGCGCACCCACAACCTCAGGCTCCGTCTTTCCCCTTGTCTGAGCTTGCTGCAGGCTGAGACGAAAAGCTCAGACCTGCTCTGACTTGAGGCAGTACACCTTGTAGCGTCATCTTAGCCAGGCGGCAACATTACCTTAACAATTTCCAGAAATAAAAATTTACTGGGAATCTAGCAATTAAAAACAATTTTTAAAAACGTGCCATAGCAAAAATCAGGTATGATAGCAGACATGTATAATGCCAGCAATCTGGGAGGCTTGAAGCAGGAGGACCTAAAGTTCTAGTTAAGTGTGGGCAATTTAGTGACAGTGACATTGTCTCAAAATAAAAATAAAAGGAGTTGGGGATGTATCTCAGGGCAAAGGCAAACTCTGAGTTCAACCTTAGTACCAAAAAAAAAAAAAAAAAAAAAAAGCCATAACAAGCACCATTTAATTTTTTTTAAATTTTTTGAAATTTATATTTGTGTATTTGGTACAAGGTCTCACTGAGCAGCTTGCACAGCATGTGGTGCCGGGGATCAAACCCTGTCCTTGCACTTGCTAGGCAGGCACTTAAACCACTGAGCTATCTCCGCAGCCCCTACTGTTTAATTTTTAGTAAGTTCACTATGCCCAGGGAAAGGAAGGCTGGTGCACGTCTGAGCTCAGGCACTGTGGTTTCCTGAGTATCTATGTTCCTTCACCCTGCACATGCGAATCCTGGTGAGATTTGTGGATGTCAGCCTCTTGCTTTGAGTGGCTAGAGTCAAGTAATTTGATAGTTTGATAAGAATTTTCTTCCTGGCTTTATCGGCTGTCTCCAGGAGCCCTGCAGGGGGAGGGTTCTTGCCAGTGTGGTGGATCCTGATTCCCTGGGTCTTTCATGGTTCAGGATGGGTATGGGCAGCTGTCTGAGGCCGGAGTCAGTGTCCAAGTGGTTTTCTCCTTGAGAAAGGCTCAGAAGTGACAGTAGGAGACTTAAGAACTGCCCACTCAGCCCTGGAGCGTGGCACCATGTGGCATTGCCATGAAAGGACAGGGCTCATTTCAGTGGACAGATCTGTAGTCAGCGAATCATTCTGCTCTTTTCTGAACAAGTTGTAGGGTGTGGGTTGATGTCGAGGAGGAGGACCTTTGTAGGCAAAACCTTGGAGAGTGATGGGACACTGGAAACTGGTGGTTCTGTCTTTCTTGGTTCACCTTTACCTATCTGAAAATGGAAATAATAATGATGGATGTATATATCAAGGGACATGAATTAGCCAAGGAAACAGGTATGGTTCCCCTAAGATGAGTTGGTGCTTAATAAATGATAGTAATTCTGTTTTATTAGAGATCACATGACTGAAACACACATGAGATTAGTCTAACACCCTATGTTCAGATCCTTAATTCACCCTTTACAAGCTTTTTAACTTTGGGAAAATAATGTCACTTCTCAAAGCCTTGTAAAAATAGGGACAGGTGGTGTCATCTCTCGGACACAGCCATACATTTACCGCAGAGCTCACAGCTCTTTACACGCAAGGAGCCTTCCAAAGCCCTGTACTGACTTCTGCCCCAGAATTTTTCTCCTAGGAAGGGCCACTCTAGCTATATGAGCTCTGGGGCGCATAAAGTCCACCTGTGTATGCAGACTTGAGGGTGGAATGCAGAGTGCAGGGCACTGCGGGAACCAGAGTCTGTGACCTGGGCCTGGTGGCCATTGTGGTTTTCTTTCATCTTGCTGTGGACAGTCCCCTCGCAGTTGAGTACAGCTGGAATGCAATCCACTCACTGCCAGTGCCAGTCATTCCCTCTGAAGACTGTCCAAGACTCAGTGCATCTCCATCAAAAAGAGGAGAGAGAAAAGGAGTGAAACCCAGATGCATAATTTATCTGTTGTGGGAAGCTCAGTAGAATCCCTGTAAGAAGCAGTTGTCTAAGGGACTGCAGTGACTAGGGATGACTGGAGGGCGACTTGACAACCAGGGACTGTCTTGGAACCAAGACGTTCTTACCTCACTGTGCTGGCGGAGTATCGGGCAAGTCCTGTAATCCCTGCCCTTCTCCTTGGCCCACACCCATTTCCTGGAAGACTTCCAGGCCTATGCAGCCAGCCTTTGAGCCTCCTGAAGGCGGGCTTTGTGGACTACAGTCTCACCCAGCCTGGAAGAACAGGGTTATATGTTGCATTTCATTGTTAGCCCAACCCATTGTCTCTGCCTGGTGCAGGGCCTACTGCCCTATAGGCACATGACAAGTGCCTTGTTTTTATTTTCTGTGGCACTGGGTCTTGAATGTGTTAGGTAACCCTATGCACAAAGCAACACCTCCAGTCCTACTGTCTCACTTTCGATTTTGTTTGTGGTGCTGGGTTTTGAAACCAGGGCCTTCTCAAGGTGCTATATCCCCAGTTCTATTTTTATATTTTATTTTGACACAGGGTCTTACTAAGTTGCAAAGCTGCCCAATGTGGGCTTGTACTTGTGATCCTCCTGCCTCAGCTCCTACTGTGCTGGGATTACTTTGGATTTTTTTTTCCTTTTTTCTTTTTTTTAATTTTTAGGGAAGAGTCTACAGGGTGTTCAGGGTCTCACTACTAGATCAGACTCATAGTGCTCCATCTGTTTACAGCCTCCCAAGACCTGGGATTACAGGTGCACTTGCCACAACTCCCAGTTTCATTTGCCATCTCAGTGTGCCCCTGGGGGCAGGGCTGGCACCGGCACAGAGAGGCTGGATTGTTTCATTGGAAAGAAGAATGACCTGAGAAACTGCTGAACCTGGCTCAGATTCCTTCTCTGTTACCTACAAATACTTGGAGCAGGCCAAGTTAGCAAGTAATTTTTTTTTTTTTTTTTTAGTACTGGGAATAGAATTTAGGACCTTGTGCTTGCCAGGCAGACACTATGCTCCTGAGCTATATCTCCAGCCATCAAGTAATTTCTTAATTAAAAAAAAAATTTTAGCAAGTTGTTTAACCCCTGAGAACCTCAGGTTTCTCATTTTTTGAAATGAGAAATGAGAATAATACCTTCTTCACTGGGGTGTCAGAAGAATGAAATAAGAGGGTTGCTGTGGAGCCCCCAGCACAGCCACTCCCTCCCTCTCTAGATGCAGGGTGGGGACATTTGTTGCTGTTGTAATTTATGGTTTCCACAATTTGTGAACTGAAGCTTATGTAGTAGCTAGGGTTTCACTTATGAAGTAGCTTCTTGCTTCTATAGTACAACAGTGAAAAGCAGTCATGTGCCCCTGGGTATTAAATGTGTGTCTCCAGTCCCCACAGGCCTGGTGACAGCTCAAATGCCTCATGGCACTCAGGTGACAGAAGCGGCCACAGGAAAGGAGCTGCCATACCTTTGCCTCCTCTTCCCAGGCCAAGGACACCACTGAGTCCACAGATATAACCAGCAGGAGGAACACTTAGCCTTTGCCTGTGCTGGGGGAGGAGCAGTGGGTATCTGGAAGCCCCAGCAGCCTGGGGGCCAATTCTAAGGTCACCTCCAGAAAGAGTCTAGCCACTGACAGTCACTTAATATATGAGGACATTATTATTGTTGTTGTACTAGTGATTGTACCCAGAGAATGCTGGGCTGCCTCCCTAGCTCTTTTTATATTTTTACTTGAGACAAAGTCTGCTAAGGCATCCAGTGTGACCTTGAACTTTCAATCCTCCTGCTTTAGCTTCCTGATTAGGTGGAAAATAGGAATTACAGGCTGGGCCACCACACCCTTTTTTTTTTTTTTTTGTGGAACCAGGGATTGAACTCAGGCCCTTGCCCTTGCTAGGGAAGCGCTTATTCCACTGAGCCATCTCCCTGGCCCTACCATACCCTTTTTAAAAATCAAATCAGCACAACACTCTCATTGCTCTTTGTGATATGACAATCAGCTGAATGTATTCTTTGTGTGTCTACCACATCTCCTGAGTTGCCTCTATTCAAAACTAAGAAGACAGCATTATAGTCTAAGATTTTTCTTAATCAGAAAAATTTTAGGTGGGTGTGGTGGTACATTTATAATCCCAAACTCCTATCTCAGTATTTAGTTCAGGCTGGCCTGAAACTCTCTCAGATCCTCCTGTCTCAGCCTCCAGAGTGCTGGGGTCACTAGGAGTGCACCACCATGCTCGGCTTGGACCATGCTGTTTGAGGGACAAGAGTTTTTCTCTTTTCTTTTTCCTCTTGTGAGGACAGCATGGGAAGCCTTGCAGTAAGGCCTCCCACGAGTCTGGCAGAAATGGGTGTGAGCAGGAACCCTTGAGCATGCTCATGGCTCAGTTTCTTCCCAGGTTCCCAAGGGTTCTGAGGTTGGCTGGGTAGAGCTGAAGTGAGAGTTGGGCCACAGAGGCAGCATGGGGTCTGAGACATCATGGTCAAGATGCTTCTTCCAGCATCCAGCCATCAGGACAGTGCAGGTCAGGCGCTCTCAGTGGGGCCCTGTCCCCA